CAAGCAAGATGTCTCATACTCGACCCAGGCAGTTACGACAGCTTACGAAACCCTGCTCGAAGCGGTCAAGCGAGGGGACTACAACAAGATCCAGACGCAAGAACGGCGATTTATACTGCACCCAGGCAGCTACAGCGGAACTAGAACAGAGCGCAAAATCTGATAAGAACTGTCGAAGCGAAGAGATTACAAGAGGACTTTGGCACAAGCATGGCGGCTCATATGCAACCCGGGAGACTACATCAAGGATCTCTTCCTCGAGCCACCAGCAAGCTGGTAGACCCGATGAAAAGCCTCTAAGCGGCATTTAAGCCGACAAAGGAGGAGCAGTTGCTTTTTAGCACATGCGCTCCAGGAGTTCATGTCAAAGACGATCATGTCAAAAGACAATCACATCAAAGACAATCCGTCTTTACTTCTCGAATGCGGTTTTTAGTCCGTCACTTCGTTGGAACACTGGCTGTGGGCTGTAGGCCTGTGTTCCCCTGAGCGGTTGGATTTTTCCCGACTCGCAGCGGCATTGAAGCCGACTGGGGTGAAATCTAAGTGGCGCCTTGCGGTACCAGCTGTGTTAGTAGTGGGGGCGGCTGCAAGCCCTATACACCGCGTTGAAGGCGAAGTACGTGCTCAATTTATGTAAAGCAGTCTACACGTTTGCCGCATACATTGGCTTATTATGTCTTGTAGGATTAATCAAAGCAGAGCCGGGGTCGCCTCAGCGTACGTTTGGGTTGAAGAACTGTCGGTAAAAATATATCGGATACCTCAAGCCTCTACTTTATTGTAGGCTGCTCAATATGTCTGGGAGCAATTCTCTCTTGTCGCGACCCATTATTTGCATGCTGTATCCTAATAGTAACACGCGAAAAGACTGGATGGCGTAAGTTCAAGGATGTACCTCTTAGAATGGCCGAACTGCTATCAAGATCTCTAGCAAATTTGCTCAGCTAGACGTATACGTTGGCTCAATATTTCCCACTCTCTGCGTTCATGATGGAGCCGGTAGCACTTCAATACGTTATGTAGGCCATGAACGCAAAGTCAAAGTACTGTGAAGTCTCCGGGCTCCACTGTCCGGTGAGAGAAAAGTCAACCTGGTGCGCGGTCCGGGAAGAGGTCCCGTCCATCTTGGAGTGGGGCTAAGAATGAGATCAGATGCACCAGGCAATTCACCACGTTGGATATCGGCCAAAGTTTTGATAGTCATTGAGTTGAATGTAGGGGTAATAGCGCAAATACATCCGGGCTACGCGGCAGTTGCTGCATACATAGAAGTGCGTATTTGCAAAAGTGCAGACAATGACACGCCCTGGAGGTCCACAGTGTGTTTCATAATAATAATCTATCACCGTAACGCATAATGTATACGTCTGGGGTAGAGTTCATAGCAAGGAATGTGTACAGCTAGAAGCAGCTTCTTCGTGGTTTGAGAACGGATGATGCCGCTCACAGAGATATAAATGGGTCTGCTGTTTTATATGTAGTCTGGGACGCTGATGAATTGGAGGTTATATCCGGTGATTGGTGACTACTGGATGGAGAGCAGCGAGAGTGTAGTGGTATGGAAGCGCAGCACATCTCTGAATGTTGGAAATATCGTGCACCGCTCTGAATAGCAGCTGATGATGAAACTCGTCCATTCTGGATTTCAAGCGTCGCTGGAGGTATTTATTAGATTTCTGGCTCATGAACATCTTGATAAAGTGAGATGTGTATGATGTTGTGTTCAGGAAACCATTGTCCTTTTATTGCGCACGGCCAGTCGGCAGCACTCCGGCAGCCCAGTTAGCAGGGCCGGCAGAACGTCGGCGGCAAATTCTCGGCTGCCGCCCCACAAAACTGCGAAAATGTCGCTTTCGGTCTGTGCGGCGCTAGCGCGTGCCAAGAAGTCGTGTATACTTATTCCACCGCGCCCAGCACCTGTAACCCTCTACCGATCAGTACAGAATCCCCTCCCCCCCTATTGTTTCAACCACTAACAGACGCGCAGTACTTCATAGAATCTTTTCTAATAGTATGCATCCTTCTCTGAGTTACTCTAAGTAGCCACAGAATCTCCAACCTGGTTGATGACTATCAGCCTCGACATCCAAGAGTGAGGCTTTACAACTGCTTCGGCGGTTGTGGCGATGATCTCAGCTGACCGGTCGTGTGCTTCGGCCGCACTGGAAAGCAGGATGTTGATGGCAATCTGACAGGCTTTATTTATTTTCATTGGTCCTTTCTGGCTTGCCAGTTGGTCGAGGAAGATATCTCACAACCTCCCGCTACAGTTTGCAACACTGGGCTCCCATTGCGCCTCCATCATCACATCAACGACCTTAGGAGCTATTCGATGGTGGCAGCAATGCATAGGAATTCATCAATCTATCGAATCCGGATCGCGCCTTCCGCTTCTCAGCACCACCCGTACTTCTCATTCGCGACCCAGTCGATCTTGTCAGCAACCGGTCCGTCGTGTTCTGGAAACCACTGCAAGGCCGCGATGCTCTCTTGATCTCTCACAATGAGCTTCGCAGTCGGGTCCAGCTTCTGAGCGGCTGCCAGCGCCGTCGGGGAAGGTGCCCACATCTCCACGTTCTCCATCTTCCATTTTTGCGCCTCCTGCTGCGCCATCGCCATGAGCGCCGCAATAGCAGCTTCGTGACTGCTGCTCTCCGATCCGCCGTTCATGCTACCCGAAGAGCCCTCAAAGCCATCGTCCTCGAAGACCAGCCTCAGAATATGCAGTGTGTTGCCCTTGGCCTCAGCTGGGTTCTCGTTGTACCACATCCTGGTCCAGTAGCACCAAACGCGCTTGCCCTTCTCGGTACCGACGACCGCGCCTTTGACCTCCGGCTTCTTGCCGTGCAGCTCGTTGCCTACGAACTCTTCGCGCGCGTGGTGCCATTGAATCGTCTCGATGTTGGGAAGTATAGCAACGGCAGTGTTGCTATTCTTTGGTCGCGACTCCAGACTTCGGCGGAGGGAGGCTTCGTCGATCTTGCATAGTTCTTCCAGATCGTCCGCGTAAAGTGGTCGGGCCGTGGGTAAGTTGGTCGTGTCTTGTGAAGTGCTCGCAGGGATGGAAACATGTGACGAGGTAAAAGATTCCCAGCCGAATTTCGCGTAGTATTCCTGTCTTTGTTAGCAATACATCGTCATAGAGTGTCAGAGCTACTTACCCTCCCGATGTCAGAGTATAGGATTGAGAACAGGGACTCCTGGCCATCTTCTGTCTGATATGTTCTTAAACTCTTCCCAAGCTCCGTTAACATCCTGCTCGCATACGAGGTGCCCTCTTTCTTCCCGCGGAGAGGTTTTGGACAGAATACACTGCCGACCCCATGACAAATGACCTCCTTGAGTTCTCCGTTCTGCCATACGAGTGCCTTCTTCCGGATTGTTTCGCAGCTCGCTAGTGGTAGTCGGGTACCTTTTGGTAGTTTGGTGCCTGCATTTGGGTTCCAAGGGTCTTCTGACACAGTTTTGTCAGGGTCAGCTAGGATCCAGTATGAAATGCCGCCATCACGTGTTAGGGTTGTTTGCGAAAGTGTGGCCTCGCGACGAAAGTATGCAGGTTTGGAAAGAGCACCGCGCCATTCGTTTGCGTTTGCGTTGAACTGTATCTGCTTTTCGGCTTCGGAAGGGTGAACGAGTTCTAGTTCAGGGGAGTCACCAGCCTTGAGGTTTTCGAGAATGGATGCGATGGCCATGTTGTAGTATTTTATGTAAGGTAGGTGTATGTTGAGTCTTAATCTAATAGGTTGGCCTTTGGCGAAGATAGCTAGGATCTTATATCCAGCTATCGACTACGCTTGTCGTAGGGCGTGACAGGTGTGGATTCGGTCCTGCTCAGCTGCAGTCTTCCAGATCAAGTGGCAGTAACGACTCAGAAAACAGTAAATAGCGGGTCCAAGTTACGTCGAACTCGCTGTAGGATGCGGATAGCTAAGGAAGAAGAGGAAGTTGGTACCTGTAGTTCTTTGTCTAGTCAAGGGCGCCCCGCGTTTTGGTGGCCCCATCCCGCCCTGAGCTCCGTGTGATCTTATAGCTGACTCCGTATGTCCTCCAGGCATTCCGAGCCAACATCATGTTGCTCGCGGCCCGAGGTGTGCCGTGGCAAAGCGAGGGTTGGATGTCACAGCTTCCCACGGGTCATGTGCGCCTGTCCGATTCGCGAGTAGCTCGGGCCTTGCATGAGGCCAGGCAGTAAGGCGGGAGTTTGCATGTCATGGTCTCAAAAGCTTCGCGCGTCCATTGGCAGCATCACCAAGACCGATGGCAGACATTGCTTCTTCTCAGCCCTGTGCGACGCGCGCGCAGGCTCGTGATGATGCGGTTAGCGGCAGTTGGGCTAGCGGAGCCCTGGGGCCGGCCTGGAGCGAACTGCACGATCATCTGGGCGAGACGCCCATCTCCCGCCCTCAGCGGCGCAGCATCCTTTCAAGACGACACGCCATTTCTGTTTCGCTGAGCGCTGGCGGCACTGTAATGGCTTTTCATTGACATGCGCTGTTGTGGCACATAACTACTGCCTTTGCTCTCTTACCTGACTGGTGCCCTTGCCCGTTTCGCTGGCTCAGGGCTGGCCGCAATAGCTCCTCGATCTCCCAGCGGCCTGCACCCGCAACACTCAGGTCTCACTCCGCTGCGCTGCAGTGTGAAACCTGTCACTCTCATACTTTCGCTTGTTCCTTTTTCTTCCCTTCAGCTAGTGCCTATCAGTCGGTGAGAGGCCTCCTCCGACATCTGGTGGGGTGAGCGACAAGGCTACGTCCGTGTGAATTGAGCTGGTCTGAATCACGTAAACACCACACGCGTTTGCAGTTCCATCGCCCCTCACTCCTTCCCCAGGTTCTCCGCTAGGTACAAATTAATGTTTATTATTTAGTTCCCCCCATTCAAGGTACTCAAGAAACTCCACATCGCTCGGTCTAGACGCACACTCGATAGCAACGCTTTAACGTGGAGGTTTACCCGTCAACTAGCCTTACGACTACTACAACAGGACACTTGCGATGGCTCCAACTGGCATTCAGCGCGATCATGAAGTGATTGATTTACTCTCCGATAGTGAGACGGAGGACGAGGGTCTCGCAAGACACGAATTGGAGGCCTTCGACGCACGATCTGCAGCAGAATTCGCTCTCGACTTCCCGGATCTGGATGATCCTATCGCAGAGTTCCGCGCAGAATTTCAGGCAAATGACCGTCAAGTGATCGATTTGACCGACATTCCAGACATTGACGTTCCGCCCTCTGACGCTGTCGTGGCAGAAGACGACAGACCACCACCAGAGGAACGAGCTCCCGATTGGGGTGAGGAACTCGCATTGGTCACCGAAGCTGCCTGTTTGCAGATGGTTGTGAGCGTGCTGCCGGACATCTCGGTCGATTACGTCCTCAAATTGATCCAAGAAAAATTGACAGACACCACACGAACAACCGCACAATGCGAGCATTTCCTCACGGAGTTATTGGAAGGCGAGCCATATCCAAAAGAATCAGACGACGCGAAGAATAAGAAGAGAAAGAGGGATAACGAAGCCGAGGGTGAGTTGAGCACCTACGAGAAGGGCGAGCGTGATCCCGAGATCGGCGGTTATGAACATGACGCGTAAGTACAGCCCCTTCATGGACACAGCCCTATGAGTTTTATGGTTCAGTGATGTCTTCAAAGCGTCAAGAGTCGGGGTTCATTGGCAGCCATCATCCAGGTGGATCGTGAAGCGAGCGTTGTATTCCACCTGGAACCATGGAACGACTGTCGTGGACATTGCACTTCGCCTATGGGCCAGCGCAGTAACAGCAATAGCAACAAGAATTCTGTAGTCATCCGCTACATTTTTTTACGCGCCTTCAACGCCTTCGCGTCGTCTTTATACCTTCCCACCCTTTCATTCGTGGTACTAACGATACTTTCCACAGAACAGAGCTACTCAAAGACGAATTCCTCACTGTACCCGTGCGGCATATCACGACCGTGCTCAAACAGCAGAAGACTCTTTACAAGGCCTACGGTGTCATTGAACAACAAGTGCGCAACTACGGACAAATTGCCAGGACATATTCGAAGATAAACAAGTCACGCATCAAGCGCGGTATTGAGCTCCAGTTGATTGAGCAAGGCAGTCAGATACCCAAGGAGCTGCACGCAGCAAAGAAGAAGAGCGAAGCTGAAGCTGGTAAGTGGATGTCGTGACCATGACCTTCCAGAAGATCAATAATTTCGAACCCTGTGTCTCAGAACAGCGAGGATCGTGTGGTCTCCTTCATCTGCTCCCTACTGACAGGTTACAGCCAAACGCCAAAAGGTCAAAGACGAGGAAAAGAAGGAAGAAGACAACTTAAAACAAGCGCAAATGAACAATGAAATGGGTGAATGCGCATGTTGCTTCAACGACGTTCCTCTCAACCGCATGATAAGTTGCAACGGAGACACCACCCACTTCTACTGCGTAGACTGTCCCCGTCAACAGATCGAGACGCAGATGGGTCAATCTCGATGCAGACCCAAGTGTTTCGGAGTCGACGACTGCAATGGAACGTTCACCCGGCGACAGTTGCAACAGGTTCTGAGCGATAAGACATTCGAGCGACTCGAGCACATGCAACAAAGAGAGGACTTGGAAGCGGCGGGTCTGGACTTCCTCTCGGAGTGCCCCTTCTGCGACTTCAAAATGGAATGTCTACCGGTCGAGGTTGACAAGGAGTTCCGCTGTCAAAACCCCAAATGCAGCAAGACGAGTTGTCGCCTTTGCGAAAAGGAGTCTCACATCCCACTCAGCTGCGAGGAATTTAAGAAGGATGGCCAAATTACCCTGCGACACATTGTCGAAGAAGCGATGTCGGCAGCCTTGATACGACACTGCAACAAATGCAAGCATCCTTTCGTCAAGGAACTTGGCTGCAACAAGATGACATGCACGCACTGTAGGAATGTGCAATGGTAAGTCAACAGCCTAGGAGATTTTGATATCAGCTGACAAAAGCTTAGCTACGTCTGCTCCAAGAACGTAACAGACTATAACCACTTCGGCGAGTCTCGTGCAGGCAAATGTCCTCTGCATGAGAACGTCGAAGACCGCCACGAACAGGAGGTCAAGCGCGCAGCTGATGAGGCCATGGCCAAGGTCCGACTCGATAATCCAGGCTTGTCAGATGCAGATTTGATGGTCAAGGTCTCAGATCGAGTCAAGCAAGCAGAAGATGCACGAAAAGGTCGAGCAGGCATAGAAGCGCAAGCCTTCCCTTACCACATGGTTGGAGAGCAGCTCAGGCGAGCCCCCATGGTACCCCCAGTACCTGCGCCGCCGGCTCACCTCAATGGAATAGCAGCAAATGTCGCCCAAGCAGATCGGTACGTCCACCCTCACCCAGCCATTCCTGCCATGCCAGCCATGCCAGCCATGCCAGCCTTTCCACCCTTTCCAGCCATGCCAGCCATGCCAGCTATGCCAGCCATGCCTACCATGCCTGCATTTGGATACCCCGTCCATCCATTCCCATTCTATCAACATCTCTATCCTGCTCAGCCCGTTCAGCCTATGGGTTTCTACGGAGCCATTCCACAGCAGCCATATCAACCATATATTCAACGTCCGATCCCAATGATCGCGCCATGTCCAAGGTGTCACTTTTTTCATCCGCCTAACCAATATTGCTAGACCTCGGTTGTTCAATGCCCTCTGGGCCATGCTCCCACCCAATCCCCTCCCACAATTCGGCATTGGGAGGGGACAAGTCAACGAACCAGGCCAACCAGCCCGCCTTCCCGAAGCTGATGGAGTCATTGATCGAATTAACGAACGGGTTCGCCAACGCAATGCCCGACCGGAATTGGGCGGTCCTCGTCGAATTGCCAACGGCGAACAGGCGCAGCGCGATGCTCGCGAGGCTTTCCGCTTTCTGGACAACGTTGGACTTGGCCAGGATCAGCAGCAGATAGCCGTGCGTCAGAATTTAAGAGCTAGACAGCAGGAGCTTGCAGCAGAGCGCGCGCGGTTGGCTGCAGCGCGACAAACCCTCGATGACGACGCGAGAGCCATGCGTCATAACGTGGCAGCTAGGCGACATGGAATCGAAGCAGAGCGCGCGCGGTTGGGTGTGGGGCAACAGAATCTTGAGGCTCTGCTTGAGGCTCGGCGGGTAGCGGCTGCTGCGATGGTAGCTGACAGGCGACGGCGTCGTGGTATGGCGCCTCAGGCCCCTCACAGATAGCGTCTTTTCGTTTAATCGGGCTCATACTATAGCATAGCATGATGGTAGCATTGGGGTCTCAGGTATCTGTCTCTAGCTGTGTCGCTTCGGCTCGAGCATATAGCACAACTTATCCGCGATACAAGCTCTGGTGAAGGTCTATGTAGTAGGCAGGCTTATCTTTAATATATAGAATTACTCGAAATCCGTCTTCAATACATCTAGCTTCCGCAAGACTATAGGAGCCTGGGTCAGAGACAAAGAACCTTCATACTCCACAGAACATTGTATTCACATATTTGTATTGTTCAACCATCTACGGTCAAAAACTCGAGAAGCTCGATGGTATACTATCTTCTGGAGGCTCAAACTTTGCCCTGCCCTCTTCTATCCAGTTCTCAAACCTGAAAACACCGGCCTGCACACTGCGTATAGGCGTGACCTTGGCGCCACCTAGATCTCTCCCTTCCTTCTCTCTCATTATCCCCAACTCAAACGCCTCCTCATCAAACACATCCCTGTCCCTAAACAGCGCGCCCCTCCCCGTCTTCTGCAAACTAGGCTGAACCGGCTGCCAGACCTGCGGGTGTCCAATTGGCGGATCGATATCGCCCTCATCCTTGAGTTCCATACTAACATTGAAAGTGCAACCCTCAGGCAGAGGCTCCAGTCTAGACGTCCGCATCTCCAGCTGCAGGAACGCCGCGCGAAACTGCTCGCTGAGATTGACCTCCACACCCGTATCCAACGGCTTCGTCTTCTTCCTCTTTACAGTCCCATCATTGTTGTATTCTATTTCCTTCTCCTCTTCCTTCTGCTTCCCCTTTCCCTTCGTCTCCGGCGGTATAGGCCCTCCCTCAAACCCAATATCCAACATACGATCCCGCCGTTCCACAACAGGGAACTCGCTCACGTCGAACATGTAGCGTTCCATTATCTTGGCGCTGCCCGAGCCTTCATCGTACTCATCGTAGGTGAATATGACGATGCCGATTTTGTTAACGACGCCCTTGAGCAGCTCTTCGCGCACGGCGGTTATGGCGTCGGTGATCCATTCGCAGACCAGGGGATGCCGCGATTGGTAGACGATGGCGTTGTGGAAGCGGGAGCGGGCGAAGGAGGTGGTGGGGTAGAGCTCGCGGTGGTGGAGGAGCGTGTGCGTGTAGGCGGTTAGGAAGGTGGTGAAGTGGTTGAGGGTTTCGAGGTAGGTTGCTGGCATCGTCGCGGTGGGTGTGTGACGTGTGGTAGTAGGGATGTGATTATTTTATTCGTGGGCGGAGTGTGTATGCGCCTCAGGTACGAGATAGTGTTGTGCACTTTGAGTAGCGGATTGTAGTCATGACGCAGACGCGTCTCGTCGCGTGAAAGCCGCTAGCGTGTCGATGGATAACGGTCACGGCTCTGGTAGGGCTGCTGATCGGTATGGCAGACGTGGTGCGTATGCTGTGTCGAGTGCCCCTGGCATTGTTGAGGATAACAACGTGGCAGCAAGGGGAGGATTGGGGAGAGGGGAATGTGTAGGTAATAGTCGCGTTTCCACCGACCGGGAACTGGGAAGAGGCATCGTCGTCACCGCCAGTCGGGCAATTGGCCACCTCGCCCTTCGTTATAGCCCAGCTGCCATACTCCACCTTACTTCTGTATTCGTCTCTGCCCTCTATACCCATCTGCTACGTATATGCAGTCGTCACGGCTTATTGCTTCAGTTATAGCCTCCGCTTAGCCACCCCACCACCCAGAGATTCACGGAGTTGCCCCGCATCTCCGAGCGCGTTCTTTTTCCTCGCGCTCAATCACCCAGCAGCACCCATTAACAAACGCGTCAACACCCGATCCTTCCACTTTGCCAGCCGTTTTGGGGAGCGCTAGACGTGCCGACTAGCTCTATACGCGCATGCCCCACGTTGACCATGGAGGACCAACTAGTCCAGCTGCTATCAGCAACCCAAACCGCCCAGGAGGACACGCGCAAACACGCTGAGCAGCAGCTCCTCTCCCTCTACGGCCACCAGGAGCTCCCCCTCGGCCTCATTGGCATCGCCTGCCATGACAGCGTGCCGCTCAACATCCGCCAGGCCGCCGTCCTGTACCTGAAGAACATTGTGCTGGCGGGATGGAGTTCCAGCCTCGACGAGTGGAAGGGCCAGGCGCTCGTCTCGGAAGAGAACAAGGCTGTATTACGGCAGCAGCTACTCAACCTCGCTACCCAGGACGGGCTCGACCGCAAGCTCAAGGCCGCCGCGGGCCTCGTCGTGAGCAAGATCGCAAGCGCCGACTATCCCATCGAATGGCCAGATCTCCTCGACAACCTCCTCGCACTGATACCGAACGCGACCGAAGGCCAGCTACATGGCGCTCTCAGGGTCCTCGGCGAGCTGGTGGAGGACTGCTTCAACGAGACGACCTTCTTCCAGGTCGCGCCTCAGATGATCAAGGTCCTGTTCAATGTGGCCACCAGCGAGCAAACAAAGCCGACGCTCAGGGCCTTGGCTGTGAAAGTCTTCCATGGCTGCTTCGATATTCTCGAGATGGTGCTGGAGGACCACAAGACTATGGTGAAGAGCTTCGCGGATGAGATACTCAAGGAGTGGATTCCCTTCTTCGTCAACGTCCTCAACAACAGGCTACCTGATCCGCCGTCAATCGATGAGGAGGACTCGGATGCGCCCAACGCCCTGCTCTACAAGGGACAGATTGCGCTCAAGCTACAGTCAGTCAAGGTAGGTCGTGTCAGAAGCTGAACACCCTGGAGCCTACATCGACGTTGGGTCATCCACTTTGCATGTGCTCAATTTGGTGTAGTCTCTAGGCCTATTCAGTTTTTCCCGTTCAAGGTGTTCCCAATACTAACAGCTCGCAGGTCCTTATGCGCATACGGTCCGTCTTCCCCGCGATCCTCTCGCCGCAAAGCATCGTCCTGTTCCAGGCAACCTGGCAGGAGCTATCCTTGCTGGAACCCGCCTACTCTCTCATGTACATCAAGGAGGATCGTCAAAGCAGGCTAGAAGATGCCGACGGCCTACCATACACGCTAGACTTCCTGATCCTGGAGGAGCTGGACTTTATGCAGGCGTGTCTTCGTGCACCCCCGGTCCGCGCGCAACTCGAACAGGAACTCCAGAACCAGACACCCGACAACTCATGGGTCACCCAGGTTATGAAGCTGGCCGTGGCATATGCGCAAATTACTACAGAAGAGGAGGGCCTCTGGGATGTGGATGTAAACATATTCCTGAGCGAGGAGACGAGCGTAACCGCGAACTACACGCCCCGCACAGCCTGTGGTGACCTCGTCATCAAGCTTGGCGAATGGCTGCAAGAGCCTACTGTCAACGGCTTGTTGACCTACACAAGAGCGCTCTACTCGGAGTCAGAGAGCTGGAAAGCTAAAGAAGCTGCACTTTACGTGCTAAACCAACTGCTGAGCGATTTCCAGGACGTGGACAAGCAGATCAGTCCGGATGCTGCAAGCGGCTATGTGGACTTCATCCGGTATGCCATGCAGCAGCCCGACGCTTTCCTGAGAGCACGCGGTTACCTTGTCGCTGGAAGTTTGACAAGGACAGCTGGAGATGCTCTACAACAGCTCGGCACATCCTTCCTCGAGGCATCTCTACAGGCCATTCCATCTGACGAGTCCGACGTTGTCCAAGTGTCATGTATTCGCGCTCTGCAACACTATCTCCAAGCGCTCCCACCTGCGACCACACAGCCCATGCAAGCACCTATCATCATGGCCATCAGCAATTACCTGGCTGCACAAGACATGTCAGAGCTCAGCGACAGTGAAGATCTTATGGTCACTCTGGTCGAAACACTCCGAGACGCCATACTTATTGATACGCGGATATGCATCACAGACAACGGTCTCGACACACTCTTCCGAATCGCTAGTCATCAAGCCAACAACTTCCAACTCACTATGCTAGTCACCGAGGCCTTCGAAGAGGTGACGGAGACTATTGCGCGAATGGGCGGAGACGCATACGTTCAACTGTGCGCAAGGGTGCTCCCATCACTTATGGGTGCCTTTGATGTCGGAAGCTTGACGGAGGAGAATGCTTTATGCAACTTTGCTGCTGACCTTCTGGCTGTCATGGCTGAGCATGGACCAGAGCCGCTCCCTGCTGGCTTTGTCGCTACAACCATGCCAAAGCTCACAAGAGTCCTGCTAGGCTCTGCCGATGAGGAGCTGCTGAAGTCTGCTACGACTGCCGTAAAGAACATCATCTCGCACGACCACCAACAGCTCTTCGAATGGCGGGATGACACCGGAAAAGCAGGTCTTGAGGTAACTCTCATCATCGTCTCACGTCTGTTGTCCTCATGCAGCGACCATGCTGCTGGCGAAGTCGGTGCACTTGCCGCAGAGGTAGTAGAGAAGGCCGGCCACGAACGACTTGGACCTTACCTAGAGCAACTCCTACGAAGCGTCGCTGTCCGTCTAGGCCAAGCAACACAAGCACAGTTCATCCAAAGTCTAACGCTCGTATTCGCGCGTCTAAGCTTGAACCATGCCTCAGAGGTGGTAGACTTCCTGGCTGGCCAGGACATCGAGGGCCAAAACGGCCTCCAGGTTGTGCTAGCCAAGTGGCTCGAAAACTCAATCAACTTTGCCGGCTACGACGAGATCCGACAAAAGTACGTACGAACCTCTCCGGAAATCGAGCAGTTCTCTTACGAACGGAGAAAGCCTATTGGAAGGCTGGAGATCGTTCGGAATAAGTTGAACTCCCCCTTCTTCCTCTTTTGTTTACTTGTTGACTGTGCATAATTGCTGACTTTGGTTCGCAGTGTCATCGCTCTTTCGAAACTGTATGATTTGAAGGACCCTCGTCTTGCGCAGGTGCAAGTGCAGGGTGACTTGATACCGAATACCGATGGCCGCATCATGACCAGGAGTCGCGCGAAAGCTAGTAAGTCTTCTCTTTTCACATTTCCCTCCCCGTCTTTGCCACTGAAAGCAGTGATTGTCATGTTGTGGAGCAAATCTGTAGGCCGTAGTGTCGTTGTCGCGAACCAGTGCGATAAACTCCTCTTACGCCCATCCACAAACTGACACACGAATTCAGATCCTGACAAGTATACCATAGTACCCGCACCCCTCAAGATCCTCAAAGTCCTCGTCGTCGAACTCCAATCCGCCTCTGGCGCACCTCTCGACGCACAAGCAGCTGCTGAGCTCGCCGAAGAAGAATCTGATGACGGTGAATGGGAAGACGAGGCGAACCCTTTCATGGACCTTGGCAGTGGCTTCAGCAAAGAGCAGCTCATGGCTTTTGCTGCTGAAGAGCCGGGTGGTGGCCGTCAGCGCGACGACGAGACGCAGGGTTTCCTGGTGGATTTCTTTAAGCGCGCGGCGACGACGCAGGGTTTTGCGGAGGAGTTTGGACAGCTTACTGAGGAGGAACAGCAGAGGTTGAGGGATAGTGCTGCGTAGGGGATGGGTTCATGTGGGAATTGTCCGGGGGATGGATCAGTTTTCTCGTTACTGTGCGTGTTCGACATGAGATACCATACTGTCGGAGCTAATAGATAGCTGAGTTGGATGAAGGATCACGATCGATACATGATAGTATGAAAAGTCACGCTTAGCTGCGACTGGCTATACGAAGCTATAGCGAATTTCATCAAGTATACATTTCAGCAACGAAGTTCCTTGGACGGTAATTCGAGGTCGTCTGCAGAGACTACTCAGTGGCGCCGATGAGACTAAGGTGTGTGACAAGGGCAGTGCGGCCACAAACACCTAGCCTTTCGTTTGCGTAGGAACAGTCCCGGATATAGCCAACGTACCTAGAAATATCTCGTCACATGACATACTCGCTTGTCATTCAGAAGGATGGCAAGCGACCAACTGCGGCGCATAGCCACCAATTGGTGCATCCTTTCGGCAAGGGCCAGCACTCGACCCTCTCTGACCGTAGTGACTGTCTACCACCCCAATTACCATGGCTGCTACACCAGAACCGCCCCGTATGAGCGAAAAAACTACCGACGTCGCTCCCTCTCCCGAACATGACCAACAACCCAACACACCACCATACTCCATCTTCACCCGTAGCGAAAAACGCTGGATAGTCTTCCTCGTCGCATACGCTGGCCTCTTCTCCCCTCTCAGCAGCTTCATCTACTATCCCGCACTATTCAACATCGCCGAGGATCTGGATATCACACTCACAATGGCCAATCTGTCGATCACGACTTACATGCTTGTATCTGGGATAGCGCCTTCCCTACTGGGTGACATGGCTGATACAATGGGCCGCCGACCGCTGTTTCTGTTTGCTATTCTTACGTATACGGTTGCTAATGTGGGGTTGGCGGTTCAGAGGAGTTATCCTGCGTTGCTTGTGCTGAGGATGGTGCAGAGTGCGGGGAGTAGTGGTGGGTTTATGGGATTGTGTTTGGGTTGGAGTATGGCTGACGATTATGGGGTCTAGGTACTATCTCTTTTGGATACGCTGTTGTCAGTGATATCGCTACGCCTGCTGAGCGAGGTGGGTACATTGGAGCAGTTCTACTGGGGTATGCTACAACCACATCACGAACGCGACGGTCTTTCTAACTACTATGACCTAGTCCGAACGTAGCGCCTAGCCTCGGCCCTGTTTTGGGTGGCATACTCGTCCAATACGCCGGATGGCCTTGGATCTTTTGGACGCTTGCGATACTATCCAGCATCAACTTCTGTATACTCGCCGTCACACTTCCAGAAACCGCTCGCAAGATCGTCGGAAATGGGTCGATTATGCCTACACGCCTTTTGAACAAGTCATACTTGAAGCAAGTGAAGCTCAACTCAAAGAAGTCTTCAGTAACGAGCTCCGAGACTGGGATCGATGTTCAGCCGATACGAATGCCCAGTCTGAAGCCCTGCTTCAGAGCACTCTGGCAGAAAGAGAACGCACTGATCATGCTCATCAACGGCCTATTTTACATGACTTACTGCTGCGTTCAAGCATCACTGTCAACTCTCTTCATAACAATATACGGTTTCGAAGAACTATACGCTGGCCTGATATATATTCCGTTCGGAGTTGGCTGCGCCTTGGCTTCTTACACGTGCGGTAAGTAGCGCACACCAAGTACACACAGACTGATCGATAACAGAAAGCAGGCTACATCATGAATTGGGAGTATCGTAGAGTTGCATCTATTTCGGGCTTCTCGATTGATCGAACGCGCGGCGATGATCTTCTGGACTTTCCTATCGAGAAGGCTCGATTGCGGGCTACGTACTTTTACATGAGCGTTGCTGCTGTGACGACTATCGGGTATGGATGGGCTCTGGATAAACGTACGGTAAGACTGTCATCAAACACGTCGCTCAAATCTGATAGTACTAAAACGTCACTAGCATTTTGCGGTGCCGCTGGTTCTGCAGTTCTTCATCGGCGCCTCCATCACGGGAGTGTTCAACGTACGTATATTTACAAATGCATAAGATGAGCCTCCTAACGATCCCAGGCTTGTGGTACTTTACTTGTAGATGTCAATCCGGTGCGACCTGCAACAGCTAGTGCGGCTTCTAATCTGTTTCGTTGCGTTCTCGCAGCCGCAGCTCTGGCGGCTTTAGACGCCATCATCTCGAAGTTAGGAACAGGATGGACGTTCACCTTCTTAACAGGTCTCACTCTATTGTCAGTACCTATGGCGTTTCTACTACAGCTTTCTGGCAAGAATTGGAGACGGGGGAGTCAAGGTCAATCATTGCGGTGTTAAGATAACGAAGACTATAAAGCAGGTGCTGGATCGCGGAGCTGTAGACTCTGCGATACTTTACGCCGATAATACCGTTGCAGATCGGTTGTCCCAAACATCAGCCAATCTGGCGTAGCTCTCTCCTTCTTGACTTACCGTTTCGGCCAATTCGTCTTGCACCTGAGTCCGTGAAGGCTCTTCTCCCGGTGCATATGATGCATACTTATCGACAAGATAGCACATATCCCTATACGCCCTACATCGCCGTCAGTAAACCTTCTACTCAGCATTCCAAAATCAAGCTTACATCTCCCTCTCCTCACACCCCGGATGATGCGCCGAACGAACAACATTCATCTTAACACAATACAACCGATTGCGATCATCAAACTCTTCCACCGGCTCATCCACGCCCATGACGCGAAGATACTCTTCCTTGTACTCCGGCTTCTTCGCGAACTCATATCTTTCGTACCGCCACATACCAAGGTCCATTTCATGATGCGCATAATACGCACCAGCGTCAAAAATGTAGATATTCCCGTTCGAGACATCTGTAGCGACGTTGCCTTCCCATAGATCTCCATGGATGAGCGATGGCTTGATTTGGCGGCCGTTTTCTTCGAGCGCACCGAGGAGACGCGGGATTACGTGGGTTAGGACGCGGGCGGAGGTTGCTTCGTACTCTGGCCATGGGTCGTTCTCTTTCTTCTCGATCGAGAGAGCGGTGCGGAGGAGCTTTGCGAAGAAATTGGGCCAGCTTGGGTCCCAGGATATTTCCTGGGCGAAGCGGCCGTGGCAGGTTGGGATGGGGAATCCGAACATTCCTGTGGGGGATTGACTGCATTTATGCAATTGCGCGAGTTTGGCGCAGAAGAGGGTAGGTTCTGGCAGAGTGTTTGTCATATCGATGAAGTTGCATAGGAAGAAGTACGTTTCCGGCGCTTCCAGCTTGAACTTGCCCCAGGTGTGGGGTTTGGGAACGAAGTCTGGCGATATCTCGTAGAGCGAGGCCATGGAGTTGTACTCGCCTTCCATCATTACCCGGCCGGCTTCATCTGTGGCGATCTTGAGGAAGTATTTCTTCTCGGCGCCATCGGGGAGGAGGACGACTAAGCAGGCAGTGACGGTCCAGTCGGAGAAGCCATGGCGGTTAGATGAGAGGACTTTGCTACCTTCAGGCAGAGCTATTGAAGATATCAGTAAAGAATTGGTAATGTACGTTAGTCTGCCTACCCCGAAGTACAGCCTCGTCGATAGGAAAGTCGCCTTTGCTATCGTCACTTCCGTCTCCTTCCTTCGCAATTGAATGTACGGCTTCTGACATATCGGCTTCAGACAAGAATGTGACAGCTAGTTTGAGCGAGCGAGAGAGTTCCAAGAGTATACGATGTTAACACGTCGGGTTATTGTGTTACATATGATATCATCGCAGTGAACTGGTAGTGAATCCTCCTCACCACAGGCACACGACACATGATAACGAACTCAACCACGCCTCATGCGCCGCACGGCAACTGCAATATGACCACATTCCGAGACCAGCTCTTTTGTATGCACATATCGATACCCATTACCTGATAAGATATAAGTGTCAGAACCGCAATGACTGTACCTCAATCATCAGCATTACTCGCCACACTGGCCATCAAACACACACTATACAATTCAAAATACTCAGAAACTCCAAAGACCACCTTCAAAAGCACATCACCAACCCTACAAATCCCTTGCCCTGTCGTGTAACCACACCTCTCCCCCTTGCATCGCTATCAATCTCCATCCGGTTAGTTCAATACAATACACTCATCACATAAGCCGGGAATGCAGCCTCGTCTTTTACCCCGCTCGCATGTGACGACTGAAATAGAAACAAACAATCGGCGCGCTAGAAGGGTGTTCGCATGCGCAGTGCATGCAGTTCACGGCCCAGGAATAGCAAAGATAGTACCTGATAAGGGACGATCTGTGACGCATAGTAAGCCTATACAGTGGAGGGGTTGTTTGGTATGAACAAAGGACTATTTTGAAGACCCCTTGTGGCAGGGCGATGGGAATGGAATGGGTGTTGGAGGGGTAGTGGATGCATGGAGGGGTGGTGTTGCGGGCGCTTATGCGCAGTGAGGGATTGGTGACGCTGGCGAGGGCACGTGGGAGTTGGAAGGGATATCGCTGTCCTGGTCTGGCGGGAGGTTGCGCTTCGGATCGATATTGTTTTGGTGTTGCTACGTTGGCCGTGGGGGGTACTTCGCGGTTGACAGTCGTCCTTGGAACTCACGTCTGCGATGTGATGTTACATCATACCTGCTCGTCACCTGCCCATAGACCAGCGGTCAGTGTTTCTCAGCGCAAGTGCCGCTGAAGAAATAATGCGCGTATGCACACGCCTATCCGAGTCTGCCTCCCAGCGCGCATTTCTCCGGCATTTCTCAAAAGAACCCCAATCACGCAGAGGATACAGCGCTTAATCTTCCATTTCGCAGCCCGAAGCCACCCACCAGCAAACCAAAAGGCGCAGCTGACCACACCCACGATGCATACAGCCAGGTCGCTCATTCGTCAATGTAACGAGAACAGAACGCCAGAGGGGAGCGGTATAGACGTGGCATGTCTCTGGCTCAAACTTTTCGACCCCTCCACACCCCTCACGGTGAACGTACTGTACCACACAAGCGACGCATCGGCCAGCTCCGATTATGGTAGCCAGAAACTTGCCAACAGCCGCGATCTCGATGCTCGCACGGCATGAATGATCTCGCATTGACCGATGTATGACGATAGACGATCTTGTGACCACGCGTCCATCTACCCGCCATTACGATTCCCATGTTCCGCTCCGGCACCGTGACGCGGTAGGTGAAAAGAAAACCTTGGAAGTAGGCGAAACAGTGACATAGGCAAAGGCGGTTCACGCGGAGTGGCAGCGGGGTACAAAAGTGGATAAGCAGGAGGGGAGAGGAACTGGACGGGTGGGTCTAGGCGGGGTTTAGTCTGGCATTCGTCATATGCCGCGGCTTGCCTGATGTACTCGCTTCGCTTGCTGCTTGGGTGTGCTTGGGTGCAAAGGGACGTGGAATAGGGGACCGGTTCATGCACGATGGCACCGGCCACGTGTTTTGAAACACCGTAGTCGCTCGCCGATGGGCATGGCCTGTGTGTGTATATGTCACGCTTCTGCATGAACTGCTGGTAGGTTTGACGATAGCGATAGTGTAGGCATCAGGTGTTCTGCGAGGCTTGCACATGCACCCCGGATTCGCATTTTCGCGACCCATTGCATTGACGCGGTTGGGACTTTCAGGCAAAGTGCTCGCCCATGGCGATGTGATGGGCTTGCCTGTTTAGCGGAATGATGTCGTATAGTTGCGACGGAACGCGATCCGGCGCGACGGAGAAAGGTCCAGAAGCAGACATGTTTGCTGGGACGCAGAGGTCATCTGGAAAGCGATCGCATGTGCTACGCCGGAGTAGAACAATGCTATTCGTTCGTTGGAGCGATTCGCACAAACGATCCAAGTACCACACTCATTCAGCCGTGGAAAGCACTGAGCACAAAAGAAGGAAGATGCGATGCCGCACCCAATCAACACGGCGCACCCCAACAGCGCTCACTCAGCTCGTGACACCCACCAAAACCGAAAAGCTAAATGACGGTAACTTAGCAGAGACTGTCGTGGAAGCCGATAGCCCTGGTTCTAGCCAACAGATCCCGTGGAACCCTTCCTGCACCAACCTCGCGTCTTTTGTCATACACGGAGTACTAGCCACCCACCATCCTTCCCTTCCATCCGAGCCTCCCGACGACGGGCAATGTCTCTGTGCCTGTCGATCCCAAAACGCAGAATGATGCCAATCCTGCAACTCTATCAAACCTGTTGCCTAATCACCCCATGTCAGGGTGCCCTTGCGCAACGTTGACTCGTGTTATAACCGGGGATCAAGGCAGAGTGTGCCTATCAAAGGAGTTCCCGTGCCCAGGGATAACGCGACGCCTCTTAATCTTGAAATGGGAAGGGACGCTTGCGCTAAGCTTCGGGATGGGGTGGCATGGAACTTTATGAGGAAGGCGAGGCATGGAAGGAGGCTGATAACGTTGAGCCGCATATGTGGCCGCTATTAAGGGGTGGTTTACTGTGTTGTGATGGCCGCGAGAGACCCTGGATGGAGGGACGGTAGGTAGATTCGCTGTAATGTCATCGTTGCATGCGATGCGCGCGAGCTGTAGGTACTGTGCGACGGCCATCCCAAAGCCCTGGGCCTTACCACCCACAACTGCATCGTAAATAGCACTTTGTGCACTCATGTCTAACCCAACCATTCCTCCACGCAAACGTGAGCAATGCCCTATTTCTTTTCCCGGTACGGATCGATATCAAGATAGCAAACCGCTGTCGTTCCACTCTACCACTCTAGAGGGCCAGCGCCAGGCGGCACGAACTCATCTGCAGGCCGTCGGATTGGATAGGTGGCAATCCTTCCCGCCTTCGCACGCCACGTTCAAGGCCATGGGGGTCGCGGAAAAAGCAAACATCATGACCTTGCCTCTTTGACGCAACCTGCAGCAGGCTTCCATGCACAGCGCTTCTTCTATGGTAAGGCTGAGGACAGCCCGAAACAGCCAATGAAGTTGGCCATGTGCATGCGCAAGCGCCCGTTGGCTGCAACAAGGCACCGTCGTGCGTGATGATTCACTAAAAGGACTGTGATGAGTCTGCGACTCACAGTGCGACAGCGCCTCCTGGGAGCCTGGGAACGTGGCAACCCAGGCAGAAGAGGGTGTGTGAAAGCATGTGAAATTCAGGTGTTGCAGACGCAAAAGCATGTGTCCGAGACTGATCTGAGGTGTGCGATAGGGTTACTGTGTCTCAGATTGCCCATGAGTGGCTGGCATGCAGGGGTCGCGGCTTTTAGAGATCGCCGCCGTTAGAAACTTTTGCTAAGGTTATTATTAGCTCTCTTTACTAGAAACTAGTACACTACTTAAGGTAACTATTAGTTATATACTTATAGCTACTTAGCCTATATAGACTATTTAAAGCTAAAATTTTCTATACTAAACTTTTACTAATATAAAGATAGTAAATTTAGCCTTAAATATAAGTAATATTCTTCTCTTTTATATCTTACTTAGTTTAATATAAGAAAGTTAATATCTATACTAGCTACTAAGCTATTTTTAATAGCTATAACTTTACTACTAAGCTTACTTACTATAGTAAAAGTAAAAGTAAAAAATTCTAGTACGCTAAAACTTATTAAGAAATTCTTACTTTATATACTACTAAAGAAGAATAATAAGAGCTTTTTCTTTATTTTTTTATATATTACTAGTCTACTAGCGCTAAGTAGGCTTTATCTAAGTTAGAATAAGTACTATAAAAATTATATAAGCTAGCTTTTAAGCTATAAAGAGAGTAAAAGAAGAAGTAAGAATTTAATAGTAAGATTAGAATAGTGTACAGTATTACAGGTTTAACTCTAGCGTTTAGTTAGGATAACCTTAGCCTTAGCTTTGCTTGAAATAATAATGACTGTGTAGGAGAATGCGACGCATGCGGGTTTGATAGGCGAAGAGGGCTTATGAGTCACGAAAGAAGCAGTTGCACGAGGACATGGGAAGTAGATGGTTCGGTAGTAAGTAATAAAATTTGTAGATAGCAATAGAGTGGTAAGTGGGTATAGCTAGTTTTGACCGTGAGGTACCGATCTTTCTGATAGAGATGTTCCGTAGAGAATCTCTCAAATCTAGTGGCCTAACCCAGAAGACAAAGTGTAGTGGTATCCCAGTACCCCCAAAGTAACAACCTGAACACCATGCGTGCCCGAAACCCAAACAGCAAATAACGATAGTAGGCTAGAAAAACAATACAAGAGTAAGAAGGGGGATATCATAGTAGAAAGCAGACTTTTTCCTGTGACCCGCCCAATGCGTGAGAAAACCCGGTAGTGTTGTACATTGTTGTGAACGTGCAAAGCGAACAAGATGCAGCAAGATTAACAATTACGAAATGCAAGAAAGGGTATCTCGCGGTAACATCAAATAATGCGCAAAGCAATGACGGTAAGGGAAAGGGTATACCGAGACAGAAAACGCCAGCGCCAAAGCGTCGAGGTATGAAAGGTAGGAGATCCTAAGCAGATGGGTATCGTAGGATGTCCTCGCAGTTGGCATCGAAGCGCATGGACCAGAGACGCATTCCAGTCATGAGCTTCTCGGTCTTCTCTAGTTCTCGGTCGCGACCAAAGATGGATTCGACAAACTCCTTGCCGCTGTTCTTGCCCATGGAAACGGGCTTTTCTTTGCCGCTCTCCTTCTTAGCGGCCTTC